CGTTAAGATGACTGGTCGAATCATCGTCTTAGCGTATATATTCAAGCAACGGAAAACGGCCAACGAATCCCACTCATTGTGTGCAAAACATTGAGCAGTAACACTTAGTCTCTGATGCACTTTCAGCTATGGTTTCAGCTCTTCCAAGACTGAGGTAAAGGACCTGAGGACGAAGATCGTGGATTTTGACCTCTAGCTCTAGATGACGGAGAAATAAAGAAAGCCAACGAATTGAGTCCTCGACAAACCGCACAAAACTTGCATGGAGATTCAGTTGTGTCAACAGAAAAATTTAAAAGTTCCTACGTGCGACTGTTAAGGCCTTTCAGGATAGAAAATGGGTTCGGCCTATTCTGAGCGACGCGAGCAAGCAGTACTGGTTGCCAATACTGGAACTTCGCTCCATAACTTCAAGAGGAAAAAGGTTCTTGACTTCGTGTTGACCGCATTTTACATGGGATTTTTTCCAATAACAGAGAAGACGGTCGCGGTTTTTTATATGGTGATATAGTACAGTAACGGTGTACCAGAGAATGCCAATTGTGGGTTATGCAGTTACAGCCTGCGTGTACCAGCTCCACCACATGGAGCTCCGCCTCGTCAAAGGGCAAATTCGGCAAATGAAAGATTAGGCCGATGTAAGACTTTGCGAATCGCGCGATTCACAAAGTCTGACACCGGCCTTATGGCACGATAATGCAAGACCACATGTCGCGAAAATCTTGCAACAAGAAATCGAGGAGTTGGGCTGGGACGCTCTGCCTCTCGCGCCATATAGCCCAGGTCTGGCGCCGTCCGACTATCACTGACCCAGGTCAGCGCAACACTTAGCAGCAAACCAATTCGATAACCGCGACGACGTCAAAATTTGAGTGCCCAACTTCTTCGAGTCGAACCAGAAAGAGTTCTACGCGGTAGGCATCCATGCTTTGCGTAACGAAAGGTGATGAGCCTGTGACACAGGTGAAGGAGATGGTTCAGGTTGATGTGCTTCATTATTGTTTTTATAATGAAAATAATTGATGATCGAAAACGACATTTCAATCGTGCCAACCTAATATTTATAATATCGTAGCACTTAAATTCATCAACGTTTAAAACAAAAAATGAAAACATGAAACTGATTAGCTATTTTTTCATTGCGATTATTCACAACTTTGATTCCTTTTCGCATTTCTTAATTTCCAAATCAGCAGAGTTGAAATTTAAAAAAAAGATATCGACTTCATTTTTACAGGCCTTATTATTCTCATTTCGTACGACAAAAATATGGTTTTTATTTAGCGAAAAAGGTATGGTCGATTGGAGTAAGGTTTGATGAGAACGGTGGATTCAGAAGAACTTCCATTTTTGACGGCATTTGCAAGCATGTAAATCGAAGGTAGCAGCTGTCGAAATGCCAATTTCTGTAACCGGGTCCTGTCTTCAAAGCACTATATCCGTGTTTAAAGACGGGTTTCACGATAAAAGGTAGCTTATTGGAAAACCAATAGAGGTGGTCAGTGGAGCAGGGATGAAGAAGAAACCATTGAAACGGCCCGGAAACCCGAGAAATGGGACCCCTTCCTTGCCCGTTGATTTCCGCATTGATGCGACTCTCATCGTTGTGCCCTCTTCAACGCTAACGCTCTCTCTGCTATCTAATCACTCGCGGCGTATAGATCTGTAGTGAGTGAATTCACAGCAAAGAGAGTCGGTGGGCGTTTTGGGCCAATTCCGCCGGAGGAAAGGTTATGCTAGAGCGCCGGGGGCATATACTTCGAATTGCATCTTGACTCGCACCTTTAGTGGGTCCGCCTGTCTCCGGTTACTTTCCCCTTCTTTGACCTCCGTTCTTATCGTGGAATCCTCCTTCAGTTACAGAGGTGAAGAAAACAACAAACAAGATGTTATAAGCGGAAAAGTACTTCCATGATAACACGATATCACGGATAACTGCATTGATTGAATTCATACGCTCAAAAGAGGCACCATCGGCAATTAGGAAATCATCCAACACAAGACAGTGTATTATGCAAAAGTTACCTTGAGTTTTGCACACCACTGTAGTTTACGAAGCCCTCTTGAAATCCTTATCCGGCGTAAGTAGTATCTTCAAAGCTAAAGTAAGAGTTTCAATAAAGAGAACGAGGAATCTACATTGATCTAACAAGGGAAGACGCTCTCCAGATTTGCAGAACGACACTCCAAAAAGAGTTACGGAGGTTGTTTCGAATGAAAGCCCACTGTAAGAGACTCCGGCAGAGCCTTCCAGCGGCGGCTTGGCCGAGTGGTAGTGTTGGCGGCTTCAGTGGTGAGACCATGGATGGGATCTTGCTGGGCATGAATTTTTGCTTTTGTAATTAGGTCTGTTTTAAATATAAAAATTATTCAGTGTTGAAATTTACACTGCGTCCAAAGCTATCACATGTTTAGAGGGGTTTGCTTCAAGCATCATCCACTTTTGCCGTAATGTTTCCGACCACTGTCGGGGTGTTTCTACGCCACGGAAGGTGACGTATATCCGATGATGGGCTAAACAAATGGGAGATGCTTGCTCAACGGACCAAACTATCTTTGAAGGCTTACTTCTAGAAAGCTGACATTTGGACCCAATTCGAAACTTGGTCTACAATCAGTCGTTGGTGCTACCCTAGTCCTAGCCACTACCCTCGTGCTATCCTGCCATAAACGGCAACGAGCGTGTACTTGAAAAAATACCATACAATTCTTCTTTGCAAGCAAGTAAAGCATACACGTATATCTCTTTCACAACAATGATTGAAAGTTTAGTTCCATCCCATGATCAGGCTCTGACAGTGGGTTGATGGATAGATGACTGCCCACATTTTCGACTTCAAGTCAAAATTTTAGATTTGGACCAAATGTTGTTGAAAGGGGTGTTTCGACGCGCTGAACACGAATATCGCATCTGCTTGGCACGAAATTGCCTTACGCGTGCGCTACGGGTGTCAGAGGCGGTCACTTGCAAATGACGCGCACAGTGCTCGAAGCTCTTCGCCAGCTCTGTTTACTTGTGCTATAGGCAATCGCTGATAACTTAGCATGGATAAGAGTCCCTTAAACAACGTTCAAAGAAAAGCAAAAGTGAGAACTCGCCAAGAACTCGAACTCACGACCTCTTGTTCGTCGGCCCGGCCGCTGCCACTGCACTATCTCGCTTCATAACTACGTTCAGAATCGTTCCGCAGATTTGGAGAGCAGATTCGAGATCAGCGTTTAAAAACACATTCGTAAGACTTGTTTTGTTTGTTAACTGCTGTTTTAACGCCGCAGTTCGCGTTGCGAATGTTT